CATAAGAACTGTGTCATCAGGCTTATCTCTTCTATCAGGCTTATGCTTATCAGTTGCATAAAACTTGCATGCCAGTATGAAGCATGATGTAGGTTGAGAACTATAATCTCTGAAGCGATCAGTTGCATGAAACTTGCATGCCAGTATGAAGCATGACATAGCTTGAGAACTATAATCTCTGAAGCATGACCAGGTCAGGTGTAAGCTAAACCTTTATTGAAAAATAGAACATGGTATAAACTGGAGTAAGAAGCAAATTTTGTTCTCTTTCCTCAGTATCTCATTTTTTCTTCTGCTTACCCAACTTTTGGACAGCAAACTGAACCACCCTTTCAGGCTCTGAAGGGGAACACATATCTGCAGGTATATAAAATATTTTCTTTGCTCCGAGTGTCAGGCATTTCTCTATCACCTTGAAAAAGAACACACGTGCAAAAATTAATATGGAGTGTGGGGGGGAAAGAACAGAAATAAGGGTACTGTAAGGCAGTGTTTTTTCCCCATACGACAGTCAGTGAGAATAAGTCCTGGACAAAGAGAAACTTTAATTTTACATCTACTGCTACCTGACCTACAGAGAGCTCATTTTGCATCCAGACTTTGTTTAACCAGACAGTTAAACAGAGGTAACTCTTAGCAGGATGCAGATTCAATCTACCTTGGAAAAGGATCAAGATTCACCCAAAAAAAGAGAGTTGTCTTCAGCAGAACTCTTCTGGAATAAGGGTTATGCTTTACATTAAGTGCTGCTTTTCATTCCAAAATACCTGGTAAGGCTCTAGCAGTATTAATCTTTCATAGTTCCTTTGCTATGTTGAGTATGTGAAGGTGCCCAGTAATGATATGCAGTTTAGCTATTTGCTGAAACAATGCCTTCCAGGCATTAGGAACTATCTTTATGCTCACTGTCCCCAACTCTCCTTTTGTGCCATTTCATAGCGAAGAACTTTCCTTGCAAGTCACCTATCCCCACAGTTTAAGAGATACCTTCTCTAAATCTTGTCCCGGTTTATAAACTACAGATAAAGGAGTCCCATCTATTCAAGCTGGTCAAAAATTACCTCACCTACAAAAAGGTTTGAGTCTTTAACAAAACAGCTACAAATAGAACTGTCTGGTCTCTGAAAAGCTGCACAATATTGCACAGGAATTGTAGTGCATAGAATCATACAGTATCTCCAGTTGGAAGGGACCCATAAGGATCATTGAGTCCAACTCCCTGCTCCTTGCAGGACTTCCTAACACTAAACAATATGACTACGGGCATCACCCAGATGCTCCTTGACCTCTGACAGACTTGGTGCCGTGACCATTTCCCTGGGGAGCCTGTTCCAGTGACTGATCACCGTCTCAATGAAGAACCTTTTCCTAATGTCCAATCTGAACTTCCCCTGACACAGCTTCATTCCATTTCCTCCTGTAAATGTTCAGGCACTATAAAGTTCAGGCATTGTATATCCATCTTCCTGTACAGGCCAAGCTCCCTTCTGGGTTGCATGTCCCCAGTGTGCAGTGTTACTGCCTTTTGGTAAGAAAAAACAGGGATATTGCAGCAGGCATTGGTGTATGGCAACGCAAAGTAGCCCATCCAGGATATCAGTTACAGAAGAATGGCACAGGACACTGCCAGCAAATCAGGCTCAAAACATGTCACTGGCATGTTCCATCTTTCTACGTAAGTGGAAAGAATTTCAAAACTAAGCAAGCTGGTTTTGCTCAACAATAGTTCTGAAGGAAAATTTATCATGCTGACAACTAATTTGTTGTTATTGGGGTTTTTTTTGTAAAAGTCCAAATTTCTTATGTCTTCCCTCATACAAGGAAGTTCTTACCTTCTGCAGCACAGCTTCCCTCCTAGCAGTCAAAACAATTTCAGCACCAAATCTGGCATAACGGTATGCCATCTGCTCTCCAATCCCAGCACTGGCTCCAGTCAGGAGAACGCGGGCACCAGACAAACTCTCTTATTTATGGGAAAGAGAATAAAAGATATAGAAGAAAGTGAAGGAAGCAGCAGAGGAGCTGCCCTTAACTATTGTCAGAGCTCTAAAGTAGAAAGGTGTAAGTGCTCAAAAGTCTTGATGTCTTGATGTTTCTCCAAATCTGGGAGAGGCAGACTGATGTGAAGAAGCCATGAAATTATCAATACCTTCCAATTCTTGCTAGACTGAAAATAATAAAAAAAAAATCACCTAATCTTTGAAGAATGAGCTATTTTTCCCCTTCTGACAGGTGCCTACAACAAAAAGATTAGTCATCAGCCACCTCACGTCAAGTAGCTAGCTGTACTGATCTGTTTTGGACTGGGTCACGGGAAAGCCTGGCTAGCTCAACAAGCTCCAGCAGGTGGCCATCAGCTCGACCTAGCTCCACTAACATGCAACAGCCAGTTCCCTCCTCCATCCTGACAACCCCCTGGTTCGTAATTCAGTCATAGAGCGGGAGGCTCAGTGTGACCCTCTTCACTCAGACAGCAACTGGTTTGCTAGAAAGCAAACAGCCAAGCCGTGCTTCACCATTCCCTTCCCTCCTCCCCTGCTCAGCATTCTTCCATGGAGTTGGATAATGGATAAAAGCATGCAGCCGGCATGGCTCAGTTGCCATGGAACAACCCCCAAGCCCAGCTTCCCAAATGATGTGTTCTTTTATTACTGCATGTTTGTTGTGGACATTATGCATAGGCTAGCACTGCCAGGGAATAGTGATATGATTATGCAAGCTAGCTGTGTCACATGCCCTTTGCCTGGTTCCTAGACCATTATCTTTCAAGGATGAAGTTGGTTTTCACGTTATAAAAAGCTGTACAGCATAAACCAGGCTCTGGGCCTCCTGCCTTTTGTGTACCACTTATTCTTTGCCATCAGTTTGGAGACATGTCAGCCCTCTTGTGCTGGCACGGCTCATCTGTAGAGATGGTTCTTGACCCCAAGGAGTTTGCAATCAAAACAAAAAAAAAAAAAAGAGAGAAAGACAGTGGCAAAGTGCATGTCTGTCTTCCCCACATAGACAGCAAGATCCCTTGTAAGTGCTGTTAGACCATTTTGTCTTCCTCTTTGTTTCAAGCTTCTCTTTATTTCTGGGAATGAAGCATTGCTTTGGGGCTACCAACTCTGGTAAAACTATGGGCAGGAATGAGACCACCAGTCAGAGTTTGGAAATTCAACCTCTTCTCTTATGTGATTTATATTCCAGATTGGAATTACTCCCCTGGTAAGCCTACCTGGGTTAAAAGGGTCTTTCCAGAAGAAAGCTACGAGCCCAGCTACGATCCCCGTAGCACAAAGCACTTTTCCAATTGGCTTCATATCCCTCCAAGCTGTGAAGAACAAAGTGAAGTCTCGAAGCTGAGCACTCTAGGCAAAATACTGTAATCTCCTTCCTCCGATGCTGGAAGCCAATCTGCAAAAGGCATGTAAAGTCCTCTTCTGTCCTGCATATAAGAGAGGCACTGTGTAGAACCGAGACTCCACCTGAGAAGTCTCTCCACTGGGAGCCAAAGTCACCTTTGTCAAGAATGAAAGACAAGGAGGACACAGACAATCAACACTCTGATAAATTGCTGTTTCCCTCTTGGGGGAAGGGAACACCACAGTCCTGTGAATGGTTTGCATTTGCCCAAGAAAGTTTAGGGCTTGGCTGTGCCAAGCAGTGCAACTCCCTGTTCAGAGGAAGTAACCCTGGCAGGAAGAAAGATGTAAAGCTCCAGCCCTGAAGACAATGTCATCTGCTTTCATATGAGAGGAAGGGATCTAAAGAGGGCAGAAAACAGGTCTGGAGAAAGCTCAAGAAATCGTCTCATCTATCTTCCTGCCTTGCTCAATTACTGTTTTCTCAGCCTTTCATTTGCTCCAGGACAGCTGGTCTGGGATTCACTCTGTCTTAAATGAACTGGACTGGGGGAATTATTTTTAAAACACCTGTACCGAACGGAACACTCCACAAACTTGTGGAGTCAGCACCAATTCCTCATTTAAACCATGACTTGAAAGTCCGATTTTACAGCAAAAGCCTTCTGCATTTTGTATTGCTGCATTCTATTTCAGATTCTCACAGATATATTTGATGTAAAAACAGATCAAATCTCAAGAGCAAAATTAATTATTATCTCTTTTCCAAAATAATATATTATATGCAGCTGTTGACAAAAATTGAAAACAGATATGAAATAGTGCTGACAAATTACATTTAGATGTGCTTTTCCACGCTTTGGGAATTATACATGCCTGCCACATGTAAAATGGTGTACCAGGCAGGGAAAATGTTGAGGGATTTATTTCTGTACTTCTTCTTTAGAACTTGTCCTGCAAATGGAAAATTCGAAACTTAAGTCAGTATCAAAACTTACTGATACTAATAGCATTCACTTACCAAGCTGTGCATCATTAGCCAGTACTCTTGCTCTATATTTTCCAAGTTTTTCTGTCTTCACAAATTCTTTAGCAGCCAGAAGCAGTTAGAAACAGTGAATATAGGAGGCATTAAAAAAGAAATTTTACAGTAGTTCCAGAAGCTGTCATCTGCAAAATTCACTTCGTCAACTTCCATAGTTCTGCAAACATGTTTAAAACTAGTTGGGGTTTTTTTTGTTTTTTTTTTTGGAGGGACAGCATATCAGGATATGGCCAACACTTAGTGAGATAATTAAATTAATGGTCTTACCCAGGGTACAGAGACAATCATGGACAGAAGTCTTTGCAGGATTGGGGCCTGGAGAAGATAAAAGGCAAAAATGGGACAAGCATGAACTTCAGTAGCTGCAAGGTTCTTAGATAATATGGTAGATATTCTTCGAGTGGAGAAGTTGACAGGTAGATTTGAAACTCAAG